ACTATTGATTTCTTATTACTATATTTAATAATATACTTACTAATATAGTATTTAGATATGTATTTGCATATGATATAAAATATTGTTACTAACGTTAGAAAGTCGTGAAGTTAGACAGTCAGTTATACATTATATTAAGACGTCAATGACTCTGGGATATCGTGCTTGTTACTTGGTTAATTTTAATCTTGTTAAGTTTCAATTTTTTTAATTTTTAGTTTTTATGCGTGTGTTATATGTTAAAATTGTGTCAATTGTAAATAATGTAGCCATAGTTTGTTCTAATATAAATATACAAGTTTACAATTATACTTGCGCTTTCTGTTCACTGTTGTGAATTTTATGCGTACTGGATATCCGCTCTTCTATTTTTGTCTATAGTGCCTCCGCAGATACATTCCATATATACCATGGCACAGAGATTAACAGAGAAAGCGAAAAGCTGTAAAAAAGTTTTACACATATATTTCTCTTCGTCATTTGTACAAAAACTACTTAAAACTATTATTTATAATATTATTGTAATGTTTTTAATATTATTGTTTATTAGCATTCATGCTTATTCGACAACGTCACGCCACAAATAATAAAAATATCTTTCTTGTTTGAGCTAAGCGTAACGTAAAATTATTGTTGTATTTATTTTTGTTTGTTACTAAGAAATCGATAATGAAATACGTTTTGTTTCTAATAAAAAATCGAAATCTATTCCAAAACTGCTTCATATATAACATTCTAACTGCAGTTCGAAGCCTCGTTTACTTGAGTAGCAGACGCAGAAATTTGATTAATCACTAATCACGTTTTACCTGTGATTTATGTAGACACGGCTTTAAGTTGTCTTATGTACGCGTGACGTTGCTAAAATCCAAACTCTTTAAATGTGCAAAACATTGAATTATATATGTCAAACATTAAAACAAATCTTACAAAATTAGATATCCGCGTACTTCTAAGTTAAATAAGCGATTGTAGATCATTTCTGAAACTATCCATATTATAAATATAATAATACACCATATTATCAAAGGGTGTTTATAAATCGGGTCAGTGTCTTCTTCTTTTTTAAACCTCTTTGACTTAAGATAAGACAATATCCAATGATAAGATTTAATAGATTTTCCTGATGATACATCTGCAAAAGAAATTAAATCGACTTTGTATCATTGTAATTAATTGGAAAAGCACTACACGTAGTTATTTTCTACGTTTAAAACGTACTATATAGTTTCTTCATTTCTGACATAATTTAACGATACGACACGAACAAACATGTGTGTAATTTTCATATACGTAAACTATAGTTGAGTGGAGAATGTGTGTCTTCATGCTCTCATTTTGACCTGTACTCTCCACTCACTGTTACATTTTGAAGCATCTCACATTTTTTGTAAATTATATATAGTCTTACCTATGAGCAGAGGCATAAAAGCAATAATCAACAATAAATTTACAGCAATATTGTGCATTGTGAGATATTTTTTTGTAATTGCACTTTTCATTGGAAATTTACAATTTATTGTATTTGTCTGAAATTTTGACGTATAAATATATAAAAGCATACGCGTATATATTTGTACAAATGTATAGAATATTTACATATATAATGCGCGCGTCCTGTATGCAAATTGTACAACAGAGGCACTGTAGTTTTTTAGTACACTACATACAACGGATCAACAATTTCATAAAACAAGAATCTTGTTACTTTGACGGAGAACTAACGAATAAACCCCTCTCCCGCTCGGTTTAAACAATTTTATAATAATTGTTTATGTGTCGTCTCTTCTACAGATGTGTGATAACATCACAGTAAGAACGCGCGCATACTGAGACATACGAAGTTCTTAAGACGCCGTATTTATTTCACTCCTTTATGATTTTGACCAAATTCGTCCTCTGATAAAGATCTCTTGTTGTTACATTCCCTCGTCTCAAAAATAAACAGATTTTAGTACCGATAGAATACTCGTAGAGTAGAGAATTACACAACTCTGTAAAAGCGAAAAACGCGCGCATAGAAAAAGAATAAAAGATAAATTTTAAAAACATTTATACATCTTCTGCTTTTGGTAATCACATATTGTTGTGCCACGTAACTGACATAACAAAAATAAAATAACAATATATAAAAATGTTTGTATCAAATTAATAAAAAACCAGTGTGCGTGTCTTTTTTATAATATTTCATATACAATTTATTATACATGTACACATAAACATTTTGAAAAGTAATAAGTATTATAAAATAAAATATATAAATTTTTTTGAGTTAATAGATGAGATATAGACAAGCAGTTTTCTTGTTTAAAAATTATAAACACCATGTGATTTTCAACGCATTGCTACTTGTAATCTGATCTGACTAAAAAGTGTGCATTTTTTTAAACAAAACCGATTTTGCCGATCGCTAAATTGAATTTGATAGTTCGATAGCGTCTAAATAGAAAGCAACACTTGTACGTATCTAGCAAGCTGTTTGCTACCGACATGTAGATAAAACGCATCGTACATAATGTACCAAGTAATCTTTTGTTAAAAAATTGATCATATAAAATGATCATACACAAAAAATGATCATATATACATGATATACAATGTGAATTACATAAACTTTAACAGCATAAATCTTAATAGTGTGAGCCATTTTCATCTATGATTATCTTTAAAAAAAGATTAATTGAATTACAATTGACCAATTGAATTACAATTTCGATTAAGCTAATCAGTCGATTAGCTTAATCGAAAATAATGAAAGCGACTCTCTTTGTTCTCTTGTATAAAACAAAAAGAAAAATAAAATCCAAAAAAAGCAAGCATGACCAAAAAGTATAGTAATATCAAATTTTTTATACAGCGACATCCACTATAACAGTTATATTTGTTTCGCCGAATACAAGATTTGTTAGATAGAGATCAATGTGTTTTGCACACATCCAAACGTACAGAAAAAAAATTTTAGTTTGATTTTAACGAGATATTGACAATGTTTCGATTTTCAACTTGATACGATTAGTCAAATCTTGCGCTTGCCCGCGTGTATTATGAATTAAAATTTTGTCCTTTATGAATAATTTAGTCATATTTTGTCATGGTATAAATATACATGGTATATATATAAATATACATGTCTATATAATTATACTACGTTTTCTGTCCTGTTGTCTATGTTAAACCTAAAAAAATAAATAAGTATATTATAAAGTACATATTAATACACATAATATACATATAAATAATATACATATAAAAATAAATAAATAATATATAATGTATGAATAATTTAGATAAAGCGAGTTACATGTAATAAAATCTGTAATAATTGTAACTGTATAACAAAATGTATTATACAAGTATTAAGTAAGTATATCATATATTGATTTACATTTGATAAGATAGTGTTCTTTCGTATAAGTTTTGCACATTATCAATTCTGATTTTCTACCGTTATGATGACAATATATAGTATTAAACTTTTATTTCATCTTATTAAAAGGTGTACTGGATAATCTATTTTTACACATTATTATTATTACTTATACATTTGTATGTGCTTCTCTATATTGTCTATATTGCCATAGCAAGTTTAGATACATTCTATATGCATACTGACACGGAGCAAAACAGAAACACCACAAGCTAAAAAAAAGACATATATTATGTACATATACAATATATGTACATGTATATCAGACAGGTAACTTTTTACAAATACAGTTGTACAAAACCGTTGGAAAAATGAAAACAACTTTTGTTTCGAATTTTTACACCTAATATCCAGAAATACAAGTACAAGAAATCAAAATCTATTTCAAAACTGCTTTATATGTATATATGACATTTTGACTGCAGTTTGAAACCCCGTTTACTTGAGTTGCACCACGCAGAAATTTAATTAATCACTGTTTGCGTTCTGCCTTGTGATTTATGTAGACGGAGTTTTAAGTTGTTTTACGTGTTGCTAAAATCTAAACTCTTTAAATGTGCAAAACATTGAATTATATACATCAAACATTAAAAGAAATCTTACAAAAATAGATATCCATGTGAAATCAAGTCACATAAACGATTGTAAATTGATTGTGAAACTATCCATATTATAACTATAATAATACACCATATCATTAAAGGATGTTTAAAAACCGAGTCAGTTTTTTCTTCTTTTTCAAAACTCTTTGACTCATAAAAAGACAATATTGAAGATCTAATAGGAATTTCTACCGATATATCTGGAAAAAAGAATTAAATCGATTATACTTCCGTATCATTGTAATTAATTGAAAAAGTTCTATCTTAGTTACTTTATACGTTTTAAACATATAATATAGTTTCTTTGTTTCTGACATTAACGAAAAGACACGAACAAATATGTGCGAGTAATTTTAATAAATGTATAAATTTTAGTCTTACCTAAGAACATAGTCATAAAGGCAAAACTCCAAAACAATTTTACAGCAATATTGTGCATTGTGAGATATTTTTGTGTAATGCACGTTCAATTGGAAACTTACAATTATTATATTTGTTTGAAGATTTAATGTAGGAATATAAAAGCATGCGTGTATGTACGTAAGAATGTATAGAAGATTTACGCGTATATAATACGCGCGCACACTGTATGCGAATTAACAACAGAGACACTGTAAGTTTTTGGTACATATATGTATAAACAAATCGACACTTTTATAAAACGAGATTCTTGTTGCTTTAACGGAGAATCGACGAATGAACTATTGAAATATACGCATTTTTATGTTATAAAACGCTCGCTTATCTCGCTTATCTTTGTGTCTCTTCTACAGATTTGACAACACCACGGTACGAACGTGCACGTACTGAGAGATACAAAGGTCTTAAGACTCTGTTAAATTTACTCTTGTATATTTCCTTCGAAATTCGTCCTTTCACTGATAGTGTATTGTATACAGATCTTTCGTACATTTTCTCTTATCCTAAAGATAAACAAATTTCAGTAACGATTGACGAGCCGAAGAGTACAGAACTATTTGGCTGTACAAAAGCAGGTACAAGAAAAGCATAGAAAGATACATTTCGAAAAAAAGATAAAAATCTACATTGCGTCATATACATAAAAAAAATACCGGTTTAAGTAATAGTTTGTGCAATAATTTATCCAAATATTGTTTGTGATATTAGGTCTTCAATTAAACAAAAAGTTTAGCAAATTGCGCAGTATGATAAACCGAACATTTTCAAAATAATCTAAACTATTTTATATATTGCGATAATGTACGTTGAAATATGTTTGTTGTATTTTTTGTGCTGTTAAATTATTGGCTGCTGATAATGTTTGATAATTCAATATTGGTATAATCGTGACTATGTAAACATTATGTCACATCAACATGCGTTATTCGGTTTTTTTGTAAATTAATTATAATTATTTCATAAACACAAATAAAATATTTTATATAGATTTATATAGATTTTATATAGATAGATCGAATTTAGAATATTTCACTGTTCTTCTTGCATAATTGTTTATTCGTAGTTTTACGTCTACATTCGCCCAATTTGTGATAGATATAAATCTATAATCTAAAGCTAATTATTATATTATTATTAATTATTGTTGTGTAGTTTATATACAGGAAACGCGCGTTCTACGATAAAGAAGACAAATAGATATTCCACGATGCAAACTTTTTTACAAGCTGTACGGATTATCACTTTTGTAGCTTTATTTTTAGGTAAGAGCAAACATAGAATTCCTTTATGTTTATTTACGCAAAATTGTATATTTATATACATAGAATTAGTTAAATACACGTTTTATTACTTTTTGACTTACTGATGAGTGAAACTAGAGAGCGCGTATCGTGTGTACGTTGGCAATGTTACAACTTAACTGTTTTAGCGATTTATGATAATGACACAAACACAATTGAGTTACTTTCTTTATTTCTAGACGCTAGAACACACCATGTAGATAAATCGATTCTTCCTGATGAGGACACATCAAATCATTTTCATGTGAATCATGACGTAATCAAAACATATGACAAACCAAGTGGATTAACCAATATTTTTGATTACGTTGTAACACGGCCGACTTTGTTTAGAGTTGTCTTATTAATTCCTGCTATTGGATTTGGTTGTTATGTTTATTGTTTGGCGCGATGGGCCCTAGATGATGAGAGCACAGTAGTAGAGATATTACGAGATAGTGTGTTTTGTCTATGGTAACATATATAACCTTTTTTCCATTTTGCACACAATTTTTTAATGCGCCCGAAAAACATGCGTTATATAGTAACGTCACTGGTAACACAGTTTATTGCAGAATACGATTAAGACTTGCTGTCAGAAACCCAATAACACGTTAACTTTAGTTTAATAACAAATAAATTCTTAATATTTATTGATAAAAAATAAAATAAGATAAAAATTAAAAATAATTATGCTCGCGATATGTTTTCTCAACTCAAAGAGAGATCACATTGTTTTTTATAGTGTAATGTTACTGTGTGAATATGCAAACTGATAACTCTTTATAAGAATAATTATAATTTTTTGTGTATTACCTGAGATTAAACGGAGAACAGAATGGAAATATCTATTTAGATGTAGATTATATACAACATGACCAAAGTCATAAAATTGTACATACTTATTCGAGACATCTTCATTGCGTTCTTCATTTCTCGTCGGTTTAGACAAAAAATGTATTTGAGCGTGTTTTCAAAGACACATGTTCTTTATATATTGACGGATTGCTTCTATAGGTATGATATTTATTTATGTTTGTGTTTAGTTTTCCACTTACATACGTTTTGCTATTGTTTTCATTCTTGTGGCGCAAAATTGTGGAATTAACAAGACCCGCAATCGATGAAAATTCTAATGAAGTGAGATTTAGAACAAGAAATAACAATGTGAGTACAAGATATATAAGTAAAATCGTAAGATTAAATAACATAATATTTACTAATGTTAAAAAGTGTAGAGTTATGGAAGTTAAGTAGCACAGAAATGATAAATAGAAATATACATGACGGTGAATAGATATAACAAGTGTGTACAAAATATTCTAACATAAAATGTAATTATCATTTGCTGCTTTCTTGAACACAACTGTTTAAATTTAGTACATACTAAACTCATACATAAAGTTATTATGTAAGTTAATAATAATAATAATCTGTCGCGTTTTTTCTGTTTTTAGCCAAATGTACAAGAGATTGATGAGTAAGAACAACCTGATAAAAGTGATCAACAGTTTTATACTTACCTATACTATTAATATTAGTATATAAATAGGTAATAATGTAGAAAATTTTGCGTATTTCAAAATTGATCAGAGAATGGTATTTTTTAATAGACACACATGCACACATGTGTTTGAATAGCAGATTTTATAGAATTTATACTATAATAGAGCATAAATTCTATTGCAACTGAATTTAACTTCCTCTAACTTATATTGTGGATAAAAAAATTTTAATTAAAAGAGAAACACATTTTGAAAGAAAAAAGGAAAGTTTTAGACATTTTTAGAAACTTTTCACAATTATCAACAAGAAATATATAAGGCCTTACGAGCCATTCGTAGGATGTTTGTGCGGAAACTGTGCGTGTACATATATATATATATATATATACATGTAACAAATTCTACTTGTAAATTTTTACAAGTAAGAATTGAGATTTACATTTAAGAATTGAGATTTCAATTAAAAAAAACACTTGTAAAAATTTACAAGTAGAATTCGTTACATGTATATATATATGTATATGTACACGCACAGTTTCCGCACAAACATCCTGCGAATGTCTCGTAAAGCCTTATGTATTTCTTGTTGACAATTTCAACGAGCCTTAAGTTTTAATTATTTTTCACAATTACTTTTTATACTAATTACTTTATATACTAATTATATACTGTATAAGAGCACATAGAAATATATAACTATGTAACTTTGACTCGAACTATTGTGTTTTATATTTCTTACGATATTTTAACGATTCACAGAAAAAAGAAAAAAAATTAGTTTTTTTCTTTTTTTGAAGCTTTATTCCTTATAATATATTCTTATTATCCTTATAATATATCCTTTCCGAATATTGACATTTTTTTCAAGTTATTGGATGTTAAAAACATTCACATATCGAAAGTCTCTAAAACTTATACATTCCCTGGGTGTGTCCCAAGATGATTGTTATGTTACATGACTGATATAACAAAGACAAACTAATATTATAAAAAATAATTTATATTTAATTGATAAAAACAGTTTTTTTTTTAATCTTTATATTATTTTATATACAAGTTCTATTTTCTACATATACAGAGTGTCCGACAATTGTGTAACATCTCTCGCAGGCAAGAGTAAACCTGAGTTGTATACTAAACTCTTATATCATTTTGCAAAATTCGTAATAGTCACCCAGATCTTAATTAACAAATAAGTATCCGCGAATAAGCATGCGTCGGGCTGTCTTACACGTGGTAATGAGAGAATCGGGATACTATTCATGAACAGTATCCCGAGATGAATTTCTCAAAATATAAATTTAATTAAGTTTAGAAGATAAGTTTCCTCACGTGGAAATACATGCTTACTAATATTAATGCTTTATATCGTAATTGTTGTTAAGATCGCATCTCCTCGCTGGTCGTTATTATAATATACCTTGCTTGTGTGTATCTTGTTTAATTATTTATTAATATATATTCTTTACATTATTTAAATATTTTTGTCCAAATGTGTGTATAGTATAATATTTTTACTAATGTCGAGAATTCGTGACTGTCAAATTTATAGACGTCAGTGTAAATCCCTGTGGCACCGTCGTGTGCTTATTACTTGTAATTTTTTAAATTCTAATATATTTTGTCTTTTTTAATTACAAGATAGTTTTGAAAGGAATTTACACGCACTTGATTTACATATCAAGTCTTATAAATATTATGAACACAGCTTTTGCTATAGCGAGTTTGCCAAAGTCAAAGTAGAGAATGTTTTAATTTTTCGATTATAGTTAAAAGCGATTAAGTCTATGGTACACGACGAATTTATAATTTTTTGATTTCTACTTGACATAATTAGTCAAATCTAGGGCTCGCACGCATGTATCATAAACTTCAGTTTCGTTACTTTCAAAAAATGTGGTCACATCTCGTCGTAGTATAAATGTACATATAAAACAATAGTATAAATATACATAACTACCTATACACATACCGAGTAATCTTCATAATTTGAATACTGAAAAGAAATAAATATATATATTAGTGTACATATTACTAATATATAAATAATTTAGGGAAAGAGAGTTATATATGATGGAACACATTTCTATCTAGTAATTATAACTTTTTAAAAATATTTTAGAAATATTATATTGATTTATTAGTATTGGGGTAATACTTACACTTCCATCCGTACGCGCATTTCTGTGTCTTGTAAATAATCGTTGTAAGACTTGCAAGTTTACATGCCACTTACATGCATATAACACAAGATGACAGATATACGAAGCGCTGTAAAAAATTTCCACACACATATGTTAGTTGGCTTATCAAGTTTCATAGGTTTTTTGCTGTAGTAAGTAATTTTGCTTATATGTAAAATAATTTTGATTGCTACTATGTTCAGGTAATACTGTATATGCATATTTTTGTTAATTTCTCTCCATCATTTCCTGATTAAGCTTAATGCAATATATAATTACTTTACTTATTATTTGTTTGCTAATAAGACAACAATACTAAAATACGTGTTGTTTCTATAACAAGAAACCGAAATTTATTTCAAAACCGCTACGTATATTATATTACGTTCTTAGTGCAGTGTAAAGCCTGGTTTTTATAAATCGCTGTTCGCAGAAAATCAACGAATCATCATTGCGTTCTGCGATCTGTAACTTATGTAAACGAGGTTTTAAGTTGCTTTAAGCTTGTTCTATATTAAGCGCAAGATGCAAACGCAAGTAGCAAGTCAGAAATTAACTTAAAGGCAATCGATCAAAGTGATTCGTCAATTCCATGAGACCTCCGACTTGCGTTTATGTCTTGCGCCTGATGTAGGCTTTACATGTACATGCATGATATTATTAAAATTCATTTTTTTGATTGTGCAAAATATTAAATTATATATAAAAGAAATCTTACATATTTCGATCTTCATTGTCCGATTTACATCTTCCAAAGTAACACGTTTGAAAAAGTATCCATAGTATAAGTAAAATAATACCACATGTCAGTACAGGGTTTCTAAAATACGCGGCATAAACTTCTGTATTAAATCTATTTGACTCGTGAGAATAAAATGTTGATTGAGAAGATTCTACAGGATTTACTCGTAGATCTGAAAAAAAAAGAATTAAATCGACTATAAGTTTGCATAATTATTATTAATATAACTAATTTAGATAAAGTCACACTTTATCGATTGGGCACGCTAAATGACGTTTATGGCCAATGTTCATAATTAGATATCTTAAGCCCGTTCTACATTGATCGCAAACACAAACGCAAGGTATAGATCTCGTAGAATTGACCAATCACGCTAGTCAATTGGCTGATTTGATCAATACGATTAGTCAATTCTACCAGACCTGTTCCTTGCGTTTGCGCTTGCGATCAATGTAGAACAGGCTTTATATGTAAGATCGTCTATGAATACCGGTCTATATGAAATATATGAAACAATCATATACTGCGAAGTATGTGTTGAAACGACACAAGAATTTGAAAAAAAAGACGATCAATTGTTTTCTATTTTCAGAAAATGCTCCCAGTAACAAATGATTGTTTATAGCAAAAGCACTCGGTCGATAAAGTGTTAATCAGAAAAGTTGTACATGTAGTTACTTTATATGTTTAAAATGTACAATGTGATTTCTTTATTTTGAACATTAATTAACGAAAAAATAACATGATATAACATACATACGCGTGCGCGCGCGCGCGTGTGATTTTCTTATATGTAACTTCTATTCTTACCTGAGAGCCTTACCAGAGTCATAAAAGTAATAATCCGTAATGTTTTTACAACAATTTTGTGCATTGTAAAAAAATTTTTGTAACCCACGCTCAATTGGAAACTTACAATTATTATTTGTCTGAAGATTTAACGTATAAATATAATAGCGTATGTAAAACTATATGTACAAGAGTATGTATAAATATTGTACAATTATGTACAATATTTATACGCAATGCGCGCACTGTATGTGAAGTGTATACGGCACTGTATTATTTTTAGTACACTATATAACGGATCGACACTTTTATAAAACTAGATCCTTGTAGCTTTAACGGAAAATCAACGAATAGACTATTGATATGAAATATACACACTTATGTTATAAAAATTGCTTATTTTTGCGTCTCTTCTACAGATTTGACAACATTACGATACGAACGTGCACATACTGAAAGGTACAAAGTTCTTGAGACGCTGTATTTACTTCATCCATGTACGTTTCCAACGAAATTCGTCCTCTTACTGTTTGTGTGTGTGTGTGTATAGAGACCTTTCGTTGTAATATATCTCGTCTTACGGATAAACAGCGTTTAGTAACGATAGAACAACCAAAGAGTAGAGAACACGTCTGCGGGCAAAAGCAGAGATAAGCAAAGAAAAAAGAGAAAGATACATTTTGGAAAGAAAGGTAAAAATCATAATCTACCTCGCGTCATAAAAAAATATACCGTTTTAATAGTTTGTTGCAACGTTACAATACTTGTTACACCGAGATTGTGTAAAATATTATAATATTATAATATTTTATGTCAAAAGAGTCACATTGCGAAACGTGATCATCTTATATTTGTTTGCGCACAATCGCGCAAGTTTACCGACGTAATTTAAAATTAATAATAACAAACGCAACGAATCTACGACATTTGTTACCGCGTTATATTATATGTCTGCAATTTTATTGATATTATATGTCTGCAATTAAACAAAAACTTTAGCAAATCGCACTTTGTGGTAAGACAAACAGAAACACATTTATATAATAATGTAAAGTATTTTATATATTGAGACAGTGTACAGATGACGAATGTTTGTTAGAATTTTTGTGATGTTACTGACTGATAGATGTTCGATAATTCAATGACCATATTAGTATAATCGTGTCTATGTGAACATTATGTTACATTTTGCGGTTACGTTTTTCAGTTTTTTTTGTAAATTAATTATAATCAGTTTGTGAACACAAAACAAATTTTATATAGATATCAAATTTAGAATATTTCACTGTATCTCTCGAAGTTTTGAAAATACTAATAAGAACCGCGGAGAAATCACGAGTCTCTCAGTAGTTGAACATATGTTACCGTTGTGATATTACGTCCTCAAACAAACAAAACTTTAGCGAGTCGTACTGTATGACAAACGAACAAAAACATATTTACATAATATTGTAAACTGTTTTATACATTGAGACAATGCACGATGACAAATTTTTCTTTTCCGTACTTTTACATCAATAATGTGCGTTATTTGATTTTTTTTTTAATTAACAATAATTGCTTTATCGGTGCAAATAAACATATTTTATATAGATATCACATTAATTTCACTGTATCTCACGCGTAATTTTTTATTTGTATTTATGTATCTACATTTGCAATTTGTGACGGATACATACTATCTTATAAATTAAATTATATCTATTTAAATTATATCCTATCTTATAAATTTATAGCCATTATTATATGTCGTGTAATTTATACAGAAGACGTGCTCTACAAAATAGGGAAGATAAATAGATATTTCACAATGCACACTGCACTGATTATCACTTTTATGACTTCATTTTTAGGTAAGAGAAAACATAGAAACACTTGTGGTTACATAGACATATAAATAATTAAACATTTTATATTTTTTGTCTTATCTCTTTTTGGCTTACTAATGTTTAAACTAGAAAACACGTGTTATACATTGACAATGTGTAATATTACAACTAAATTAAAGTAAATGTAATAGAAACACAATCAGTTTATTTCTTTTTAACAATTTAACGAAGTGTTTGAGATCTTGAAATTTTAAAATCAATAACGCGAAATTTAACCGTCAATATAAGCTAACGTTGAATGCTCGTGCGAAATAAAAAAATAAATAAACTATAAAATAAATATATATATATATATATAAATATATGTATATATTATATTTGTACTTGTTTTATTTTTACCTTTTTCGCAATAGAATTAAATTAAATAGGAGAGAAAACGAGCATTTCTCATATATGTGATGCAAATCCAGCATTCTATATGACCTCACGCGAATTGATATTTCAATTCAAAAATTTTCACGTGTAAAAATTTACACAAGAAAATATATACATATATATTTATTTCGCATCGACTATTCAGCATTGGCTCTCATTGACCGGTTAAACTTCGCGTTGTTGATTTTATTTCTTTTTGTTTTTATAGAAGCTACAACATACAATGTCTATAAATCGGTTCTTTTTGATAAGGAACAAATTTATTATGAAGATCCCATAGTGATCAACAAGACTCTAGAAAATGAAACAACGGAATTAGGGATTTATAATTTTTTTGTAACGTGGCCGAGATTGTTTCTCATTTCTTTTGTCATCACTTTTGGCGTATCTTGGTATTGTTGGTACAGTGTTTGTTCACACCTTTGGTACCAAGACAGACAGAGGACACTAAAGGGGATTCTGCTTTGTATATTGTAACATATAGCCTTTTTTTTATCTGCATGCATTATAACAACGTCACTGGTAACAGAGTATCTATAATTGAGCTTAGATTTGCTATCAGAAACACAGTGACACATTATCTTTAGTTTAGTTAGTAGCTAACGAATTCTTAATATTTACTACAAATAAATGTGCTTGCGATGTGTTTTTTTTAACTCAAAGAGACCACATTGTTTCTTGTGACGTTACTGTGAATATGCAAACTGATAACTTTATAAGAATAATTATATTTTTTGTGTATTATCAAGAGGCACGGTAGTGCCTCGGGCCAAGTTCACGCGCAACAAAGTGGCGCTCGAACTGCGCGAGCACACTGTGCCTGTTATACGCGAGATTCATGCATTTTATCTGTGAATAACGGAGAAAAGAATCGAAATATCTCGAATATGTACAAAAACATGTATTTTTAGATATACCATACGTCACACTACGTAAAATAGTTATAAATATGCATTTGTACATATCCGAGATATTTTCATTACGTTCTTCATTTCACGTCAGTTTACAGAAAATGTATTCGAACGTGTTTTCAAAAATACGGTTTTTATTGATAGGATAGATTGCTTACACATGTAGATATTATATTTATCTTTGTTTGTGTTTAGTTTTCCTTGTGCGTTTTTTTCATCCCTGTGGCGCAGAATTATGGAATTAAGAAGACCGCCCGTAAATAATGAAAATTGATTGGAAGTAATATGTACAGCAAGGAATATTAATGTAAGTACAAGATATAACAAAACCATCATGAAACAAATTAAATAACAATATTTAATAATGTTAAAAAGTGTGAAGTTATATTATATAAGTTAAATAGCACAGAAATGATAAATAGAAATATACATGACGGTAAATAGATATAACAAGAGTGTGTACAAAATACACTTTAACACAAAATATAATTTATTATTTACTGCTTTCTTGCATACAACTGTTTAAATTCAGCACATACTAAACCTATGTATAAAGATATCACATGTACATAAGATAATAATAATACTCTGTCTCTTTTTGTTCTTTCTTCAGCCACGTCCAGGACAACAGATGAATAATCTTGAATCAAAACTATTTAGTGTAGATTGATGAAAAAATGATCATCATAGTTTTATACTCATATATATTATTTATATTAGTACGTATTATTTATATTATTTATATTTTTCATATTAGTACATAAATAAGATATATAGACAGTTTTACTTACTTTGAAATTGACTAGAAAATGATATTATCTGATGGACAGTCACGTATACAATGTTTTGATATCACAAGTTTTCATAGGATGTATATAGATTGTAAATAATGGAGCGTAAATATTATTGCAACTGATTTTTACTTCGTCTAAATGTATACTGTACATATCAAAGAAAATTTTTTTCTGTCTCAGAGTGAGGTTACATATATATATATATATATATATATGCAAAGTTTTATTAATTACTTTGACTAGGAATGACATTTCCTGATGGACATGCACTCGTACAGTGTTTTGATATCAAGATTTAGAACATACTTTTTAGAGCATAAACTTTATTGCAATTGAATTTAACTCGATCCAAATATATAATTTGCGTATTAAAAACAAGTTTTTTCTAACGTCTCAGAAAAAATTCTCGTAATAATAAGTTCATAATAAGTATCATGAAAAACCTAGAAGACAAAAAAATAAATAATGATATTTTTGTAGGAATAATAATTTATGTATTTTCAAGAGCGTAAACGCCTTTGCACACGAAGTAACTCCAATAAGGGAACAATAAAAACATTATTGGATTCCACTTTTACGTACGAAGGCATTTATGGTCTCGATTGTATGCGTGTGCCCGCACGCGTAGAAGGTTTCCGTTTAGCAAAAATAGATAACTTACATATATACGTTCACAGCTTTTCCTTATTTGCTATAAATTACTTATTTATTATCTTATTAATCGAAATTATTTATTATTTTATTTATCTTATCTGAAAAAAATATATAAACTACTAATTATATTTAAATGTAAATTAATGTAAATTTTAATATAACTTTTTAATATATATATATATATATATATATATTTATATATACACATTTATATGTGTCTATATATACATGTGCATATGTACATATATGTATATGCATATATATATGTACATATATGAACACATCTATAGTTATATTCATATATGTATCTAGTATAGTTTCAAATTGTAATTAATTATCGAATAAAAAAATGAACTCGCATTTATCAGATGCGGATTACTAATAATGTACAAAAAAAATTTTATAATGTACAAAAAAAAACGATACATATATTGTAATTATAGAACATGTAAAAATATGTAACATATATAATATATATAATATATTACATCTTATACATAGGTGGATATATATGTATACAGAATAAGAAGTTTTGACACAGCCGAAGTACGAAGATAAGTTGGGTTATTTTATGAACCAAAAGATCATACATCATTTTGCAAAATTCGCAATATTTGAGTTGATTAAGTAATTTATGTGAGTTAATAAACACGTGGAAAGAAATGATGAAAGATTTTCAGTTATAGTGCCGTAAAAATCAGTTGATCGTAACACACGTGCCGCTTGTTTATTTGTTCCCATCTGTCGCTGTTAGGAAAAGAAATTTGCATGAGGTAAAATATTTTTTTTTATAATCCGAAATTACACACGCCTATAGAATCTAAACTGTTGCTTTCCATTTTCGACTATATAACATTTAATCTTTTATCCAACTTTTTATTAACTCGACGACGATTTGGCGCGTATAAAAAATTTTGTCAAAAAAGACACGCGTGAAAAAAATTCTGTTCTACGTCAAAAATCTGTTCTACACGACTCACCTTTCTTTCAAATGTTTACTTAATTCAGAAATATGTTAATTTTAGTTGTATGTGTCATTCTGTGCCAGCATATTGTTACGGTTTTGTTTGCTGATAGCAAACAAAATTTGTACGTCACAAATAGATGACGGATGCTGGGTGCTGAAAATTTTTTGAGAAAATTAGTAATTTGTTTTCTCTTTCGCAGATATTGTTTTTGCACAATATCAACATGTAACAACAATTTCTTTTTATATTCGTTATTTGAATCTGTTTTTTTAAGCTTTTATGAATTCGAGAAAGAAATTTGAGTCGTGAAAGATTTCTGTTGTCGTAATTATTGTAATTATTTCATTATCAGATCTCAACACTATGATTATATATTTAAGTAAAATTGGAAACAATTAATTCAATTTTTGAGAATCACGACTAAATCGCGTCGAGCAATTCAACTTTCAATTCATTCTTTTCTGAATAGATTAAAAGTATTTACGAATTTTGAAATTCATTTAATAAACTTTATACACATAAAATTATGATCAAAATTAGGTGACTGAGAGAAATGCAAAAAAAAAAAAAATACCTACTACCAACAAAGAAGAAAACATCCTTGCAATCCGTCTTGTCACAGTATCATATAAGTAGCTTCTATATAAAAATATATATTATCTTAGAAAAGACTACTTACATCTCTATGTACATTATTTAGTCACAAATAGAATAGTTTTGCAATGTGAAAAGCAAGATGCATCTGTTGTTTTCTTTTTTGCTTTTAAATATTGATTAAAAATTCTCGCATATATAGAAACATTTCGTATCTTCTATCTAATATTTTGCTAAACTCGGCGATGATTTGGCACGATACAAGAAATTTACGGACACGCGCGGAAACGATTCGTAAAATGATTGCAAGGTAAAAGCTTTCTGCACACAATACGTTAGATTGAGGTATATGTCGTTGAGTTTCTTTCCCGATTGTGACCCTATATCATCTCTGAGTTTGCTCTTTTTTGCCAAAATATAAGTATAAATATATTACATATATATTACATGCGTATACGCACGCGCGCATTTTGTTTTTTGTCGAAATACTCCGGCATTGTAGATTTGAGATCATCTAAGAGCTCTTTAAGGCCTTGTCTTCGGCCGCGCTCCATCTCATTGTGTAGTTTTTTTTTATGCTCAATATCATATTGAGCACTTGTTGTAAATATATTGTTTATAAGAGGATAAGATGGGGCAGATTGGGTTCTTGCCCCTTTAAAAAATGTTTTATTATTGAAGTCACTATGCGTAGACTTCCGTGGTCTACCACGTGATCTTTTTTTTACCTGCGGTGGATTTCTACGTATTGAAATATCTGCGTAGGATTCGATGTCTACGTCAGTATCTGCAACAGAGAATCGAGGCATTTCCTCAGTCACACAATTTTCATCAAATAATATTTAAAAAATAATAGAACTAAATTCAAATGAGAGAGATTTGACAAACGCGGGGTCTCTCGCCGAACTTGTAGTTTCGGAAACGCATCCACTAATAGATTAGCACGGGTTAAGATATTGTTAATGTGATTGTCAAGAAATAATCAAAGAATAGTAAAGGAATAAGAGAGCTAAGTAAGATCAAAGAATCGCTCACCTGAATTAATTAATAACTCAATAAATATATTGCAAATTTAGCAAAATGATAAATGGCTTTCCGTTTAGATTAACCCAATCTATTTTCACACTTCGACTGTGTCGAAATTGTTCAAACGCTTTTTAGTTAGTTAGTTAGTTAGTTTATTATACCTTCCTGCCTACCGGCTTTGAAGGGGACTTGGTTACATTTCTTACAATTTTCTTACAATTTACTTTTTATATATATCTTATCCTATTACATATCTCATTTTTGCGAACGCCTGTTATTTTTATTACCCTTCCTGCTCTGTCTAGACTCAAACGCTTTTTATAAATATATACATATGTGCATTTATACAATATACATATGATTACATATGTCTCTACATATGTAATCATACGTTTGTCGAACATGTATAGCAATCTCGCAAGAGAACAACGCGAACGATAAATATGTATTATCTCTGTATCTATTCTTAAACTTGTTATGTACATAAGACGTATTCTTGTAATGTAATGCACGAAAATTTATATCACATGTCATTATGTTGTCATATTATGTATATCATGCGTATATATTTATTATTATATATGTATGTATATATGTATTATTTCCTATTTATTGTATACATTAAAATGATATGCATACTTCTCGAAAAAAAAGTTGACTAATTCTGTTACTTCTCCTTAATATTTGCGTAAGGAACTTGCAAATGTTGCGTTAAATATGTATAAACATCTTTAAGTCGTCTTTTATTCATATTTTAGTGGTATGTGCTGTCTTGTTTCTTTACATCATAATATGCACCACATACTGAAGACGCGTGCAATATTGACTAAACACATGATTAGTTTTTAGTTTTTTTTTGCATTTATTGCTCGGATCTGAAAACGTCTTTCAAGAATAAAAGATAATAGTGAAATCTGGTCGACCAGTAAATTTAAAAATAAAAATCAGTAAAATAAAAAAATAATAATAATTTCTGAGTGTCGACATTTTCGTGGTCTTAAATGTAAAAAAGATTGTTGCGATTTACATATTAAAAAATTTTCTAAAACTTATACAACTCCTGCAGATTAACTGTAATCCAAGATGAATGTTATGTTACATGACCAACATGACAAAAAATAATGAAATATACGTATAAGTTTTTATTCATTAATAAAACATACATTTCTAATATCGTACAGTCGCGGTCACTGAATCGTTTCGTGGACGCGGGGAGCTAGGGGTAAAAGAGACGGTATTCCCTAGCAGTAAGTATTGCCATCACTTGTTTTTGATATAATAAATAAATAATTTTAATTTATAATAAAAAAAATTAAGTGTTCTTACACAATACAAACACATTACACTTAGTGATAATAGCACAAATTATTTTCAGATTAGCGGGAAATGGTTCTTACAACAGCTACGGTTTATAAATCTCTGGGTAAGCGATTTTAACGAGTATTATTAATATTATTTTTATATCTGTATGGAAGTGTATGTTACTTTTTCTGCTTGTTCAGTTATAAACTACTGTTATTATATAAACTACTAAACGACTAAGTAGAAATAAAGAAAAACATAATAAGTTCTATATGAACTATTAGTCTTTTTTCTATAAAAAAAAAAAATATATTTTATGTCTCTTATCAAACTTATACACAAATATACAAAATTTTATAATAAATATATTTTGTAATCTGTTTTAGGATCTATTTGTTCTCGATGCCATTAAACAAAAAATTGAAGATCGTCGTTTATTTTTATTTAAAATGCAAAACATATACTTAAGTTATAAGCCCGACTATTTACTTGATTACAAAAGCGTAACCAAATAAGTTTTCTTTTTATGTTAGTGTGCTTTTTATATTGGAACAAAGTGTTGTAGTCAAAATACTCTATCAATTAGTTGTGTTCAATTCTTATGTTTAAGTAAGATTTATTTTATGATAACAAAAACTACTGATTATTAAAATATTAAAATCGGAAATACACTTTTCGGATTTTAATATTTCATAATTTGCTAGGTGTTAATCACACACCAAGTAAATTTGTTTCTTTGTTAAGATACAGTATCTATATTATTATTTATATCACGCCAGCTGCTTCATACGTGTATATTTAAATATAACACAGTAATATGAATATATAAATCATGCGTTAATAAAGTTACAGTATCTAGGTATAAAATTTTATGAAATGTAAGAGAATAATTTATATCATTCTATATCATTCAGTGTTATATGAAAATATACGGTAATTAATCAGTAGTATGTATAAAATGTTAAGGGAGTTAGTATTTATTAAGTTTGTTTTACAAGACTATATTCATTTAATTTAGTTATAATATTTTAGTTATAATAAAAATAATATTTGCATTAAAAAGTTTTCTTATTACTTTCTATCGTTTCTTTAGTTTTTTACATTATGTAATAGTTTTCAATAAGTTTACATGTGAACACATTTATATGCATGCATTTGCGTCTTCTATTGCGTTTGCGTCTTGCGACTAATGTAGAACAATGACCTTTTGATGCTTATCACAATCGCTATTACTTTCATTGTATTTATTGATTTCATATAAGCAGTATCAATTAAAAGCGGAATTGTGATTACGTTACTTTGAGTAGGTCAACACCCTGTATATATATATAGCACTGCCAAGGTAAAGTGAAGGTCACATCTATTTTTTTACACGGATTTCTTTATTTTTTTATTGCACATTCTTATAGTTTAATTAAATTAATAAGGGAGAGAGAGCTTTTCAAAATACTATAATAAAGTTTATTTTCATTAAGTACTTTTAGAATTATGAGAGTTGAATATTAAAGTATCGCACAATTTACACACTCGCGTAAGAAAACACTATCTTAGGTAACATTTCGTGCAATATTGCAATAATTATTGTTACCACGAGATTATATTAAAACGTTTTAATTATATTTATTTGCACTATCAATATTTCTTATTATGTTTATGTTTTACTACAGAACGTAACATGACAAGTCTCTCTTAAATAAAGTCACAAACGCAACGATATCATGAGACAAAAGCTATTGATGTATTTATTTCTAATTCTAAATTATCTGCTACTTTTTATTAAGTGTCATGCATATGTCAAGTTGTTTTTTTTCTTCGCGTACAAAATTGGCTTGCAAATGCGCGGTAAGAGAGTGGTTATAAATGAGAAAAGTATTTATATATTTATAAATGTTTATGTGTGTATTTACACACACACACACACACACACACATTTCTTAGTATATCTTTTTTTCGAATCGATAATGTTCCACGGAATATAAAGCTAACGTTTAGCATTAATAACGTCTTTAATAACGTCTTCGAGTAAAAGTATAGAAGCGAAAATATGACCGCCTAACTGACATATTGTTCCCGTTTTCTTGCGAATGTCGTGAGAACAGAGTGAAAGCAAAAGCGGATAGGTGACGATAACAATTCTGCGATTCTCCGCGGAGAAACGTCGCCGATAACATACAAATTGTCACGATCGATAAAAATTATTGAGGCTTCTGTGTGGCCTCTCTCTTTTGTTTTCTCACGCGAGCGTTGATCGAGTAAGTGAGATATGATTTTCGTTGTTTTCGCGAAAGGAGAAGTACGCGATCAATTTTGCTACTTTTATGAGAGTAGCGTTTCTATATGAGACGCAGCGCACCACGTGGGAACAGACGGAATTCGATTGCGATTGTCGTCATTTCTAATTATCCAGTCACTCTCCGGAGTGATCAGACGTTTAACGTACAACAACATCAGCAATCATACGTTTTATAATGAAGTCTCGATCTCAAGGTTTCACAGATATACTCCTCTCTCGGTGCTGAAACTTTCTCACCGGCTTCTTCGAGCGTGATTAAATACCATTTTTTTTTTTTTTTAATACTCGAAACTTGATTGTAATTACAAGTGATTTTCTGTTGTAAGAAATAATTACCAATACTATTTAGAGAAAGAGAGTGAGAGAGAAAGAGAGAGAGAGTACAAAATAAAATTACTATACAAATACAAGCGTTCGCTCACAATTGAGTTTATTTCTGAAATGAAATAAATTACAATGACTATTGGGCCGGTCAAGTAGTCTCGCGGCCTGAGTGCTAGGATTACGAGTAGGGAGGTCTCGAGTTCTCGAATCCACACCTTCAATTTTTTTTCCGTACCGTTCAGTCGAATTTATCAATTGCGAACTGAATCGGACCTCCAGTCAGTTCGAAGCACTTCCGGTGGTTCAGAATTCACCTAAAATCTGTAGACCCGTCTGTAAGATCCAAGTTGTACCACAAAATAGTTGAAGCGCCACTTTTTGTGTTCGGGATTATGAAGAAATCCACTAATAAACTGTCGGGCCAAAACTTAAACGCACGAGTTAAATTTTTGGCTATAATAAAATAAAAATTTTTGTTACTGTTTACGATCCAATCATTATACTACCTCGTATAATGGCCCTTCTCTATATTATTGAAATTTCACGAAGCCAAAATTTTCATTCTGATTGAAATAAATTACATTTGCTTTGTGAATTACATTCTATTAGACGAGAGTGTCGTTGCGATATCGGCTTTAATCGCCATCGATCCATATATTTGAGAAAAAGAGAGATATATTATATATCTTCCAATAAATAAATAAGCCAGTAACAGATGTGAGAGAGAAACAATCGCGCGATTGTGTGAGAATTCAATTCGTTAAGGAAGTGGTTCGCTCGCTTGTGGGATTCATTACAAGTATCGGCGGTTGCGTCTCTCCGTCTCATCAGGGCCGCTAAATTACTACGAGGGCTCATTTTTGCTTTAACGCGATTAGCAAGGCGAACAGCGGCTCGCTAAATAAGGCAATCCCGCGATGGTTGTTGATTACCGATGTAGAAATACCGCATCATGTTTTTTTTTTTTTTTTTTTTTTTTTTTGTTCCAAATTGCGGCTAATTGTGAACGTCGACGATCACGTATCTAATGATACAATCGAGGGGAGGATGGCGTTCCTCCTCGAGTCACATCGATTCTCTCCCTCGAGGGGTCAGAACTTTCACGACGCGCTACATTCTTCGAGCATTATCTCGTTTCGATCGATTTGATCGAGCGCTCGGTTAATTTAACACGGTGAAACCATACCCGCTGCATCGTCGCCGCCGCCGCCGCCGCCGCCGTTCGGAGTGTTTCTCTTCTTCTTCGCCGATTTCGAAGTCGCTGACCAACGCGGTTATGCCTGGCACTAATGATCAATATCTAGGCGCATCTCAATTAAATCGAACGATATATCTGCGACGGATCATAGACTGCGCATCAGGTATTATAAAATGATCCTGCAGCGTCGCGGGCCGCTACGTTCTAACGAATTTTCACAACGAAAAGTCTCTCTACACTTTCGTGCCAGTTTCTCAAATGAGATAATAATATCAATCGGCACTTACCGCGTTTGCTACTAGCATTACATAAATTACAATATTTCTGTCTCTCTCTCTCTCTCTCTCTCTTTCTCTCTTTTATTTAAAAACTTAAGAAATTTTCTTCTTGATTTGACCCATCTCGCTTTCGGATTATATTTTTTTTTATTGCGAGA